GGGGGGCGGCGGCGGCGGCGGCGTCAATGCAGTTTGATATACTAGTGGTCGTCGTCTTGGAAAGGGTCTCAAGGGTCTCCCAAAACTACAGTCTACTGTCGTTCAGGCTAGTCATCCTGGCCGTCTCACCTGTGCCACAAAGTTGCTTCAGAAAACATCATCTTTGCAGAATGTGATTGTGATGTTCTCTTCATCTCTACGACTTCTGGAAACCCCATAGAGATTATGCCGCGCAAGCTCTGTGTGATTTCTCTTACTTAAGAATCATATAAGGTGACTGCTGATTAAACTAAGCCCGAGAACAAAAACCTTTGATATTCTTAAATTTTGCTGAGGACAGGGGCCCATGGTTCCAAAGGTTGCGCATTTACCTAGAAGACCTTCATGACGCAGCCAATATTCGTTTGCACAAGATTCACAAGATCCAAAAATTCAGGCCTCCGAGGCATTGATGCCGGAAGCCTCAGGCTTTTGGACTGACCTTGGCGTGACAGCAGCAGAACAACAACATTTGTCGCTGCGTCGCGGCAAAGCTTAGCACCTGACCACACAAAGCCTGAATGTAGCAACACTTCCGAAGGTGCCCGGAAAAAAGCGGCGACGGCAATTGGAACATCATTGATGCTGCCCACATCCAGCTCTTCACGCTCCATCAGCGTGTTGAAGTGAAAGTCATGCCCCATCCTTGCAGCATATCATAGTTGCTGCAGATTCAACTTCAGCATTTGCTAGGCAGGATACGTGCCGATGCATTCAGCTGCTGCAGCCTCTTGCAAAGTTCGAACGACTCTGTGGTGAAAAACGGACAGCCGTAACATCTACTGAATGGACGACTGGCGTGTCACAAAGTAAGTGACTCATGTGCAGCGTGTCTACGACAAACCTGGGCCGAACTGCCGAAGATAGCTGCTGCGAGCATGCTGTTCAGAATCAAGTGCAGGAGTATACTGGAACAGGAACACAAGCGTTGCACTTTGGGAATTCAAGTTTTCGGCAACATCAGTCAAATGCTGACACGTTTCTGCAGTGTTGAGCAAGACTGAACTACCAAGCGTGCTGCAAAACTTTGAAGATAATTGAAGGCGTCAACTTGGCGTCGGCTGTTTGGCCCCTTCAATGTTTAAAGGTGAAGCTCTGCAATCTGATGCCGAGTGTCATGAGCCCGCCTGGCCGAACTTTGGGCCACCACGCGCTCAAATCCTGCAGCACGCTCCACCACCTGATCTTGGTGTAGGGCTTTGACCTTTGGGCATGCTGACCTGTCCCGAAACTTTTTGCAGCTTGGGTACTTGTGATCTGCATCAATGTAAACAAGATCTAAGCTGCCATCCTGGAAGCACCTGACAACTTACACAACACACACACACACAGAGACGAGCATTCTGATGCAACCTTGGAGTGCCAGACCTTTCTAAAACCACTCTCAGCTAATTTAGTTTTCTTTTGCATGCACCTGCGTGCGGTCAGCATGTTAGGCTGGTCTAAGCTAGAGTCTAAGCCTCCTCAAGAGGCTGTCCACAAGCTCAACAGAAGGCATGCTCACCTGGCAGAATCTCCTGGTAGAGTTTTCCGAACAAGCACTGCTCGGTAGCGCTCTTCGGCTTCCGGCTTTCGTCTTCCCAGGGAGGGGCCGGGAGGGGGGAGGGTGGTGATGCACCGCATCACACGAGCAACGATGCACAAATACTCGGTCGCACATGTGGAAAGATGTGCTAGTAGCAAGCGCTTCTTCAGACATGAGAGGCACATGCCTTATCACGTGCACTGACATCTCAGCAAAGCTGTGAAGAAGCCCGCCGCCGCCGAGCGGGTACACGCTTCGTGGTAGTTCCGCGTAACGAAGGAATGCCAACTGTGGCATTTAAACTTGTTGAGAAGTGGCCAACAGAAGAGGCGTCAGTGTGAGACAGAAGTGCACAATCTTTTGCGAAAGTGCTAGCTCTAGAAGAACAGGGAACACTGTGACTGAACTTGTTCACTTTCCTACTCGAACCAGTATGAAAGCCACGCATCAGCATTGTCTCTGCACTAAACAACCAGGGCTTCCGCGTCCACTTTTCTACCTCCGCTTTGTTTCACATCAAACTTGCTGGCGTAGTCTCTCCCACAGAGGCTTTTGAACAGCGGTTTGTTGAAGTTCTTGGACTTCTTGTGCTCTCACAAAAGAATAGCCCACACTACAACCCATGGTTGCCTGATTTCGTTTGGCTTCGAGGGATGAAAAGCTCATATTTGAGGTGGCTCAATTTGCTGGACTGTGCAACTGGTGTGGTTTTCCAAGCAGCATGCGCAGCGGAAAGCATTCAGAGCAAGTAAAGTTGCCAGAAGATCTCCTTACGGATTTAATTTTTCGGGGGAGCAAACACGTAAACCCTCCCTTGGCCTCAAGAGAATCAGCGTGCTTTTCTATGACGCAAAAGCGCTGTAAAACATACATGATTTGCCTACTTTGTTCAGAATGGCTAAATTCAAAGACGCTCCTCTTCGGAGAACCTATACGAGAGCACGAGATGTTATCTTAGCATGACCCAACCAAAGCACGGTCAACAGCTTCATCAGGAACATCGCCCTCAGCCTGGACGGGCCAACGCTGCTGCTGCGGTGGAAGGCCACATCGGCGTCAAATCGCTGAGCAGCCAAGATAGCGCAAGCCCTTGCCGAGCAGGTTGGGAATGGTTAGGGACTGCATGTATGATACAAGCCGAGACTCCAGGAAAGGCCTAACCGCTGAAGCCCAATCTTAAATCTCAAACTGAACGAGCCGTGCAACGCCACTGACGGTGAGGCTAGAACCCCCGAGCTATCATTCTGTGTCAAGGTTAGAAGCAAAGCTTCAAATGTCTCATGTTCTGGCCTTTTCGGGAACTTATTGTTTGAACATCAAGCTTAAAAAGCACTCAAGAAAGTACAAGAGTGCCGCGAGCATTCATTCTGGACAAGTGCTTCGTTGCCAAGGCTCTGTGCATGAACATAACTGAACATGTGTTGTAAGGCTGAGCTCGCAGCGTTTTGACGCAAGACGATCTGTACAGCAGTTTGAATTTTGTGTGAATGCATCCGTCTCTTTACAGCTTCCCACTCAGTTTCTGCAACCTTACAATGTCTAATCTCACTGGCTGGCTGTCACAATGGGGCTGTTGCCTAACAAAAAATGTTGCTTTCAGACGGTTGTGGTATGGGATTTCTTACAAAAGTGGAGAATAGCCACCGCAGCTGCCGCAGCTCCAAATCCCACCCCACTCCACAAACCCCAGGCCCCGTGCTCCCATGCTCCCTGCTCGCTTCTCAGAGTCTCAGGCTCTCTTGTTGACTCCATTCGTTTCGTGTTTTGGCGACTATCTTGCCGACGGAGCTGCCTGTTTAGCGGGCCTAAAGGAAGAGACAGCGGCGGTAGTAGCAGGATTGACTGCACTCGCCTAGAGTAAAGGTGGTACCTCATGTAGTTGTAGTGCTAGTCGTGGTGCGATGAGTAAGAGTACTCGCCAGCCCCCGCCGGGGGCGGCGCGCGCTAGTGTAAGTGTATTTCACAATGTCGTACTCATAACACTGATTGTCATATTATATGCAATATGTAGTTCTGCGTCTCGAACATCTGAAGACAATGCGCTGCCCTGTGAACACTCTGCTGGCTTGGTTTCAGAAGCTTTCGAGTAGCCAAGCTGCTTGGAGGGAGCCAGCCAGTGCGGAACTTCCACACGTCGAGCTCCATTGCGCCCAAAATATCGCCACACCGAGCGCATGCTGGTATGGTTGCTTTGGCCCGCCATGTCCGAACCGGTTCCCACGGCCTGGCAGGGCAGCGATGGCAGCGACGGTGTATCAATCTGTTTTGTTGGGACCTTGCAGAAACTGCGAAGGCCTCTTGAGATTTCTTGTTTGATCTGTTTGCAATGGCAAGCATGACTAACACGCACAAGATGCTCATCAGTTGGAGTGGTCTGCAAAGATTGTCTTTGCTACGCTATACTTTTGTTCGCTATCGGAAAATGCTGAAACTGAGGTGAGCAATGTCGCCGGCTCATCATGTGATCTGCGTG